AGGTACGCGTCACTTCCTTCCGCAGCGCAGCTATGGCGGAGTTCTTCTTCACGGTGGCGCACTCCAGCTATGGCGCCCTATGGGGCGCGTCTCTCTCCTGCTACAACGGCGATGGCGCGTGAGGTAGCGGGTACCAGCTCCGATACCAGTGCAATCAGACTCGCAATCCTTCACACTTCGCATGCATGTAAACAGGCAATACAGCAAACTGGCGACAAGCGCCCACTCAAAGCTCAGAGATATGGTAACCACGGACACAGTTCAGATACACTCTCGATTCAAATGGCTATGGCGCAACAGCGCCTGTACAACACTCTGTTCGTCACTGCGCCTCACTCTGCTGTACACACACACTCAACTAGGATCACCCTGGATACCCCACGCACACACTCTATAACACTCACGCATACGCACCTATACTAACTACGGCAGCTATGGCCGCCAACTACACTAACTACAGCAGCTATGGCTGTCCGAACTCCCTTCAGCCCACTTCGACTTCAGGCTCCTCTGCAGACCACCTCGCACAAGTCACTGTGGCAGCGCTTCCACATGGCTTCTGCAGGAATGAATGAATGACTGGGCGCTGCCTCTTGCTTTATACTTCTGCAGCTCGTTGGTCTGGCCCTTTCCCATGCCCGTAGTGCACACAGTCCCATGCGGTACTTGCTTGACTGGACCAGAACTGCCTAGGACTGGGACTGCTGACGCAGCACGGGTAGACTACACCACTTGCCTCACCACTTGCCCACTTGCCTCAGCCTAAACGTGGGGAACTTCGAAAGGCCACTACTCAGACCTTCCGGAAGGCTGTAGACTTGGCCTTTCGATACTGTAGCAGCTACGACCTTGACCTTTCTGGACTGTAGCAGCTACGACCTTGACCCTTCGGGGAGTCTACAGTTATGACTTCTAGAACTCCCTAAGACTCCTATCCGACAGGTCTACAGATCAAATCCCCTACAACCTACGGACCTAAAACAGCCTACCAACTGTTTGCGAATACACAGGTCACGGGTTCAAACACTCAGGGGTCAACGCGGTACTGTACATGGGTAAGGTAAGGTCTGGGGATCGAATCCTGGGATCTGCATCTGCCTCTGCAAAGGTGAAAACCGTTTCACTTAGTGAGGCTCACGCGTCTACCCAACCTACTGGCGTGCTGCGAGAGCCCGAATACCCACATATGGGAATGTCGAATTTTGGCCTTTGACGAATATTCAGGCCCGCCTTCACTTAGGGCGGGCACTCGGCTTGCTGGGGCCTTAGCCCAGAACATGTGATGTCTGATAGGGCCCCTTGAGGGCTCGTTCCTCACAGATATCTTTCTTTTTTTTCTTTTTTTTTTCCTTTTTTTTTCTTTTTTTTTGCTTTTCTCGATGGGACAAGTGAGGGTCAGAAATGTAAAATGTGCTTTTTGAAGTTTTTAACTTTTTGTAGCTTACTTTTTGAAAAAAAAAATAATAATAAATGTCTGGCAACGTGCAAGAGGTCCAGGGATCAAGCACTGGTGAGGCGATATGTGACAGAAGTGCAGCTTCATGCCCGGATTCAAAATTTAAACCAGACGCCATCCACCAGCAGCTTCCGCATTCCCCCAACCTTCCCTCAACTCCCTCTCTCTGCAAGGAATATGGGTGGTAATGATATACAGAAAACCAAGTTGTGAAATCACACAAATGTCCAGGTAGTCGTGTACAAGCAGAGAGGACAAATGCACCGAGATCCCATCCAAATAAGAGCAATACAATGAAGTAATGAGCTAATGTTCAAGCCCTCGGGCCACACCAACACAATATCCAAAGTCGCTCCTCTCTGTCTGGCGCTCAGCGCCCAGCCTACACTACCTGACTATCCTACCTACATCAGCAAGATTCAGCATTCTCGCAACAGGCTTCGACTCTCGAAGACCAATGTACATGATGTCAACACCATAGCCGACCTCTTCCATGTACCAGGTACGTATCTCGCTTCCCCCTCATCAGACCCTGTCCACCCACTCGCTTCCTTCCACAAGACCACCGATCGCCCTCTTACCCCCTAGTGCCCTGCAGCCCGGCTATGGCTGCTTGCGCTCCGCTGCCCAGCAGCGCCCCTCTTCACCACACACGCGCCCGCACACGCTCTGGCCTCAGCGCAGCACGCAGCCTCTAACACAGCAGCGCAGCAGCGTGACCGCATTGCCTGCGTGGGCCAGAATGCCAGACCCTGGCTGCCGTCCTTCCTATATGGAAGTGGCAGTCTCTGCTTGGCTGCGTGTGGCCTGGCTGGAAGCTTCCAGTAGCTTCCGGTTGGGGCCCAGTACCTGCGCCCAGGCCCAGTGCTACAGTTGAGGGCCTGGGCCCTTTACAGTTGGGCACGGCCTGAGTCTCCAGACTTGGGCCGTTTCCTGCATTTGCACAGGACCCGGGGTATGTACGTCGACAGAGCTGCTTTCGCGTAGGCCTGTAGCTACTTCGTGATGTATCGGCCCTGCATTGTGTGTATGTGCCCCAAGGCCTGGGCCAACTGTATGACGCAGCTTAGTGAGGCTCACGCGTCCACTCAACCAACTGGCTGGCTGACACAGCCTGAATACCCACATATGAAAATATCGAATTTTGGCCTCTGATGAATAGTCAGGCCCGCCTTCACTTAGGGCGGGCACTCGGCTTGCTGAGGGCCTCTGCCCAGAACATGTGTATGTCTGATAGGGGCCCCGTGAGGGATCGTTCCTCGCATCTCTTTCTTAAACACACAAAAACAGTGCCAAATACTTGATGTGACTCTCTCTCTCTCTCTCTCTCTCTCTCTCTCTCTCTCTCTCTCTCTCTCTCTCTCTCTCTCTCTCTCTCTCTCTCTCTCTCTC